AAAAAAAAAAAAAAAAAAAGGAGCCAGGACCCTGGGGTCATGTGGGGCAGCCATTGACGGGCCTGCAAGAGCAGGCGGGGGTTGGGGGTGCTCAGGAGGGCTGCGGGAGTGGCCAGGGGATGAGATCTGGTGGGTCCCTCCCATAGTTCCCTCCTCCCTCCTGCAGCCCCTTCCCCCACCTCCTACTTACTGGCATGGAGCCTGGGTCCAGCTCCCTGCAGCAGCGAGCAGGGACTGCCCAAATCGCCGAATCTCTGAATATTTTTCTGAATCTTTCTGAATTGATTCAGAGGTTTTTAATTGATTCAACCTTTTTTACTGATCTCCCAGTTCGATTTGGATTCAGAGATTCAGCTGCCGAATTGGGCGGAATCTCCTCCAGATTGAATCAGCACCCAAAGCTTTGCACAGCCCTAATATTTATTAGGAACCCAAATGTCCAGAAAGACAGGCAGGAAAACAATATATGCCGGCCACAGTATAACAGATGTTATCAATAGAACAGATCACACTTTAGAAACTGAGCAAAATTTGGAAATTGAAAATTATGAATATCTGTACACAAAGAACCGTGGACACTTGCACTGCAGCTATATTAAACACCAAACTTGAAACTTCCCATTGACATCAAATACTTGATTATTTATAAGTGCAGTACAGGAAACCTGGTTACCTATATCAAAGGGAAATGTATTACGACAATCCATTCCTGCCATAATCCTGATGCCTTCAGTAGCTTTGTCCAATAGCCTAATATGGGGTGGGGGAGTAGGGCATATCCCAGGTGTTGCCTAAGGGAAGGGGCACCAAAAGGAGTGCATGTAGGTAAGGTGGGTGGCAGGAGGGGGCTCATTCTCCTGCTCCCTGCTTGGCTTGCATTTCCCAGCTAAACACTGCAGCAGTACAGGAAGTATGTGTTATAGAGTTCACAGTATTGTGGGAATTGTAGTGTTTTTAGAGTGGCAATGGAGTTTGCTGCTGCGGGCAGAATTGATTCTAATTCTTGCTGCCAAAAATCAGCTTGTTTGGTTTTTTTGGTCCTTCAAACATGGGCTTCAGCAGCGATAAAAAAAGTAAATGTTTTTGCCCTAACAGCAGCAAAGTCCAACATAACTCTAGAGAACTAAAATTCCCAGAACACCTTGCACTCCATTGCCCACACTGCTGCTTACTGGTGTGTGCTGTCTACTGGGGGAAGGATGAGAAGGACTGCCCTAGGCACCTTCTTCTCATGTTATGCCTCGGGTTTTGCACATGGGATGATTTTGGTCATACCTTCTATCATTTGTGCCCAACAAGCTGGTTGGGGAACAGACTGTGGCTGATTTTCCATATGTATGGCAAAAGGGAGAAAGGCTTTAGGAAGCCAAATAAAAAGTATTAAGCCCAATGAAGTCAGTGAAATTGTGAAACATATCTGAGAGTAGACTCAATTTCTTTATTCTTTAAGTGCCCCAACTTCGGGTATCAGTGCAAAGAATAATACTGTAAAGCACCGTAAAGCAACAGGTAGAGTGGTACAACCCTTTCATAAAAAACTGGTATGGCATGTGGCTGTAGGGAAGGTCAGCAGTAGCCAGCACAGGCTTTAGCTAGCATTCTTGATATCACATTTCAGTTAGAAGACAGCTCACCCAAAGTTTAAATGAAGCAATGCAGTACCAAAAAAGAATCCC